AGAGGGAACCAACTTAAATTAAATTACGTTTCAAGTTTCTCCCTTTCTCTCGCCCTTCTCTCGTCAAATTCACATGACGTGAAAACAGCAAAAACAACTTACATACGATGGTGTGCTGACCTGAAAATGCAAGTTTTCCAGCGAATGGAGGCGGACGATTTTTAACGAGTTTTTCTATCGATTGTCCCCCGGTAACATCTGGCGTGTCGCCAGGCGATTCGCCGCCGTGTCGTATTTAATCTTTTATTTGCGCCAAAATAACTTAAACGATTCCCAAGGAGATGTCTAGACGGGAAAGCAGCAATTATTACACGCGATCCATAAAAACGACGTGTCGATGAGTCCCGCCGGGCGGCATTCCATATAAACGCCCGCGCGCGCACCGTAAATTCCGCGTGGACGTTGAAAAAGAATTTCGAGATTTTCCGCGTTCCCTCGCCGCCTTTATCACAATCATTTCTGTAGCGTCCAATTTCTGACGGCGAGCCGCTCCATCACACGGGAAGCTTGACCTGATTACGGCGAAGCTAGCGATAAATTAGACGGATCTGAATTATCGCCGTACCGCCGAAAAATAGGGCTCTGTCAACGGAGTCCCGTCATCTCGATGCATTAGCGATCCTACGTTAAACGTCGAGAAACGAAAAGACGCGCGTAGCGAGCTCCTCGTGAATGATGCCTTCGAGTAGCTGATTTATCGCCGATAAAACCTTCGCAGATGGTGTACTTTCGTGCACCTACGCGGGTCGCGCGTTTCGAACGGTATTCCGAGCACTCGGATATTCCCGATTAAATGCAGCTAAATGCCGGGCACATTCTGATATTTATTACTCCTTTATAACGTTGTAGCATTATATACAAATTCCGATCCGGTTTCAGCAAACGGCGCGTTGATACCGGGGCGCTTCAACACAACACACACACACTCACGCTGATATAAACATTCCATTCGCATTCTAACACTTAAATTAACATGCTCCCGAACGCGTTTCCCTGCGAAATAACATATTACACTCGGGCGATGCGAAAACGGGTGAAATATTACACGCGGCGGGATTCAATGAAAATCACGGCCGAATTTAGGGCGTTTTCGGGAAATTATGGAAGAACGGAGAGAAACGGAGCGACGTGGGTGGCGTTGAGAGAACGCAACGAGGCAGCCGCCGGAAATCAAAGTTTAACAAGAAGGCGGTCGTTTCGACCGACATTGAAAGCTCGTTTTCCCCGTCAGTGGCTACCGCCGGAGCATGCTCGACGAATGCGCATCGGTGCATTCCGGGGGGTGAGCGAGGTGCGGAATGAAGACCCGTGATCGAGAATCGCTCCTCGTTCTCCGCGAGACTCCGCTCTCTCTCACTCTCCTCTCTTCTGTCGCTCCCAAGCCCCTTTCGCACTCTCTCAAACTCTTTATTACACACACACACACACGCACACTCTCTCTCTCTCTCTCTCTTTTTCTCTTTTCTTTTCTTTCTCATATCGATCAGCACGTCGGAATGCCGATCGGCCTGTCGGCCTCCGCGAATCCGCTCCTTTTCTTTTCCTTATTCACTCATACGTTTTATACACACACGCGCATACACGCACACTCGGGGTAACACACCCGCTAAACATCCCGCGCGTATTTTATTCGGTCCCATATCATCTATTTGTCCTCGGCGCATCTATATGCGGCGTCGCGGCGGACTATTCTCGGAGTGAAAGCCGCTCCTCGCACCGTTCACTGCCGCCGCGTGTTTCGAGAAACGCTCCGACATCCGACGACGATACACTCTCGACGCGGTGATACGCGGCTCCGCGGAGGTCATTAGCGGTGCGTGCGCACCGCGGAGCCGTGGAAAACCGCTCGGCTCCCGATAATTAGCGGCGAGGCTGATCGGAGAACGATTGAATCCCGACGCTTCGTACTTTTCTGTAAGTTCCCTCCAATTTTCATCGAGGGGAAAGAAACAAATGCGAGGAGGAGACCTCGCGGTATCCTCGACAAGTCGAGCCCGAACGAGCGAAGCAGTCCGAATTCCTCCGCGGATCCCCCCGACGGAATTGATCGCGCAGCGCGTACTACAATATTGCGTCTCGACGAGCTCGGTGTCGACACACATCAGTACCGATTACGACACGTGTGTACGCGCGATATCCCCCCCCTCCCCTTCCCACCGAATATTAATAACAGACGAAAATCCCCCGACGCGGTTTCCGAGGTGCGCTTAGGGTCAAGCGGGACCGCCGTCGCGACAGCGCAAGAGGGTCGACGAAAGCGCGAGACAAATTGAGCGGCCGGGCTTTGTAAGATGCGACCTAACCGCGTAAGCCCACGATGTCGCGACGTGCAGATGAGATACGGAGAGAGAGAGAGAGAGAGAGAGAGCGCCTGAAGAGCGTCCTGAGGAAAGCGCGTCGAGAGAGCGGAAAAGAGATTCCTGAGCGAGCGCAGGAATTTCGCGGCGATCTCGCAGCCGCGACGCGTCGCCATCCGCGGAGATTCTCTTCCCGAGGGGATTACACAATGAAATATATTTCCCCGCTCTTTCGCGCGCTCGCGCCTTCGAGCGCTCTCGTCGACGCACCCTCGCTAAATATAAGCACGCCGCTTCGCACCGGCGAAGCCCCCACAAATCACAATGCCGAAAAAACAAGGCGAACGAAGAATTCTCTCTCTCTCTCTCTCTCTCGCAGCGGATCCATTAGGTCACCCACCCCCTCCCTTGCCGCCTTTTCGCCCGACGTGAGCTTTCTCACCTAGCTGGCGGAGTGTATTATACGATAGACGATCGCGGGATCACCCGATAATGCCACTTAGTGGCTCTTTAAATGCCGGGCGGATAAGTACGCTTGCTGGCACCCCCGTGGAAAATAAGCTCGTCGGGGTCCAATTGGATTCCGTTCTCTCTCTCTCTCTCTCTCTCTATCACTTCTTTTCAATTCCCGGCGACGCAAATTCGCGGAAATAATCAAATCCGCGATTAAATGGACACGAGGCACGTATCGATAGGTTATAACAACGAATAAAGCTCGGGCCCGGATGCGCAACGCGCCGGCGAACGAGTTCGATGAAAGAGAAACACGATTACTTTCCAATTAACGTCCGAAATCGGAATGGCTCCGAGACATCCATCCGATATATCGCTGGCTGTCGCTCAATGCAAAATTTAACGAACCCAGCGGGCGGAGAGCGCTTCGCGATCCGTAACTTCATCGTCGGTCGTACGCTCGCGCTCGAGCTTTTGTGCGCGAACTCCAAAGTGACGCGGCAAGTAAAATTGCAATGCCATGTTGAACGTTACGAAACCGTAGCTCTTTTAAGGGTAGCGTCACTGACAGTTACGGAATTACATTCGGCGCACGCGCGTGTGCGTGCTTTCGTGTGCGTGTGTGCGACACTGACCAAAGCCGCGCTGAGTGCAAAGAATTAATGTTCCGGAGACGTTCAAAGAGCAAGAGCGCACCTGAATCCGCAATTTGTAATATCCACTTTAGATACCGTTCGTGGAGAGACCCGTCATCCCNCCCCCCCCTCTCTCTCTCTCTCTCTCACTTTATCTCCCCTCTCTCTCGCTCGCGCTGAACGCCTCGTTTATCTCCACGTTGCATCGGCATATTTTCGTTACGGTAATTATCATAAACGACGCGCACCCCCCTTCTGAAAGCGAGAGAAACTCGGGCATAACCCTTTTTACGCCCGGCGGAAGAAAGAGGAAAAACGATGATACGAGAAGCTAATGGTGTCGCGGGTCAAAAACCATTAGAGCCGGTCGGCCGTGCGCGATGCACGTGTCGGACATGTGTGTGGATCACGCCGTGGACGCACGTCAGCTGTAACTCTCGAACGCATTTCGCTGCAAACGCGCGCGACGTTCTATTCTTCCGAGGAAAGATCTTTCTTTCTTTCTTCCTCGTTATCGAGGAAGAAAGGGCGAGACGTAATCCGGACTGCGAGAAGCTTCAATTACGAAACAACATCGGAAGCCGCTCTCGTTCGTGCGGTAAGTTGTATGTCGAACTACACTGAAAGAGAAAGCATTAGCCATAGGATCTAAAATCTGGCTTTGACAGTTGAAATGTGTCTCTGAAATGGGGACAGCTGATCGTCGGCACCGCGAAATTTATTAGCTGTTTGAACGCAGGCGCTACAGCGAAAAGTATTAGATCGTACGATAGTACTCAAATCATATTCACATTCCGGGCTGAATGTGTGCTGCTTTTTCGATCGATGCTGCCTTTAACATGTTGGTACGTGCTAATTTTGTTTACAAATTTTCCATTCGCTTAATTCAGTGCTATATCGCGTCTGAAAAACATCCTTAAGCATTGGATGGACTCGAGTCCTCTGAATTATGAGTCACTTTGGGTTATTACGTTATTCCGTTAGTTGATGTAACAGTGTTTCATATTGTCTATATATTATGTAACCAAAGAGAGAGGGCACAGCTAATCAACTTTCGCTACTCGTGCTAATAATTTCAGTTGACAAAATTGTACCTTGCAGCAAACGCATTCGAGGATCGACCTAAAACCGTTTCAGTCGATCCTCACCCCGAAGAAGTGAACTGAAATGTTCACGAAACGTCGGACACAAATTCTCGAAAGGCGCGGCGCCAACTCGGAAGCCACATCGAATGTTTATCCACACCGCGAAAGCTTAAAATTCCAGCAAATTGCACTTTATCTCTAACAGTCAACTTTTAGCAGTGGCGGCAAAGTTCGAACTACTTGATGAGATTTAGTCGCCATTATTAAACCATTGCTCGGAGCGCAGAGCTTGTGTCCACGAATTAGATGAATCGCATCGCGAGAGACGCTGCTGACGTTTCAAGTTCGAGGGAAATGGTGCCGGAGGCTGTCTTCGTCGAACGATCACTTTGAATCGCACGATCGATCGTATTTAACGAGCAATATTTCACGGGAATTATACGCGAATAAACGCGAAATTCGCCGGTGATGCCGATCTCATCCCGACCGGTAATCTCGTTAGTTTCAGCTATCGCACGTAATACACATACCATATTCTCGGCGGAAGGATGATCCTGGTGTCCGGGAGGCCGGTTTCCTTGCAGCAACGCCTCGAGACTCTCGATGTACTCGATAGCGTTGCGCAATATCTCTACTTTCGGTAAACGTTGGTTAGGATTGTTGCTGGTTCTCCGCTTGAGCACCTCAAAGGCCTCGTTAACCTGTCACAGAAATTTACGGTCGCGTAATTAACCAGCCAGCGGTCTCCGACCGTGAGAAATATACATAACTAACGGGAGAAAATGTTAAACATATAACATTGTAACATGGGAGATGAATAAGGCAGAACAGGTTCTATTTTCTTTCGGCTATCGCAGTGTATATACAGAAAGCTGCGGAACGTTTTTCTAAAGTATCCCCTCTCTACTAAACCCTTCCCTATGTTACGCAGAGCACGACAGGCACCAAGTGACTCTCGGTAAGATTTAATACTTAGATCCACACTCAAAACGCTATCCGTCATCCGAATCATCTGAAGAGTCGCTTAGTCCGCGATCACTTTGTGTACGAATGTGTTTTCTTTCTGTCAACGCGCTCCCTTTGAGGCTGTTTGCTTCGAAAACACGCATGTGGCATATGCTTTAAGTAATTATCAAGTCGGACCAGCCAAAACTCGCGGCCACGGTATACGTTGAGCATTCAGTTATGTTCGATAAACACGAAATGTGATACAAGTGTGCGGCATCGGCATCGCTGTTTGCGAAACAATGTGCGCTCACATTCGCCCGAAATCGTAATGGATAATTGATTGACGTCGTAATCCCATTAATTTCGGATTAATGGTTGCGAAAGAAATTAATAACAGTGCAGTGAAGCAGCAAAGAAACAGAATGCGTAGATGTTTTGCGTGTTATTCGAAATATCAATTCCGACGAGACGCGTAGGTTTTGGAAAGCCGACGCCCGTGTGGAAATTGCGCACGCTCAGCCAGTACTGGAAACTGGCGAGGTACCGATACAGTATTTAAATACAGATTTCACATTACAATACCAATGACTTAAATAGAACAGCGGGAGATGTAACTAACGTGGAGCTTAAATAGTTCAGTGGTAAGAGTGGTTCGGCTGGCAAGCGGATCCGACTTCGATTCCAGCCGAGTCTGCCTCGCTCCGACGTTTTTCATCTCATATGACACAAAAGTGGTCGTCCACAGATAAAAATGACTCTTTAGTATGATTCTGGTATCAACAATTACAGAATAATAATAATCATTATTTGGAATCTCGATACTGTCTCAATATTGGGAATCGATCATTTTCGATACTTTTATCATATTGGAAATCGCTACAGTTTCGGTAGTTTTTCGAGTCTTCGCCCATTGTTATCGATCCAGAATTCCATCAGTATCAAATCATGATTGGCATCTAGTAGAGGAGAAACGTTAAGACAGGCATATAATTTTATATTTTGGCCGTAGATCTCTTAAAAATGTAGGATTTAAATTTATGTGCATAGAAACGAATATGGCAACATTTCCGTACCAAAATATATTATAGCTTTTTGAAAATTATTTCACGTACTGTCTTGCAAGTAACTACTTTTTAAGAAGTTAGAGAAATGACATTTTTGAAAAATAGGATCCAAAACCGACATATCCGTGATATCTAGGAAATTCCAAAAATGAAATAAAAACATTGAAATTAGTTTTTGTGTACATTTATTATATATCCTTATATATATATATATATATGTTATCTTTAATCCTGCATACTTTTTATTATATGGAAAGAAGCCATCTGACTTTCTCTTTCCGATTTTAAACAAATAAAAAAAAAACAGAGCAATCAGTTGCCAGTAGCTTCAATTGTATTCTGTGATATTTCACAGCAAATTCATGGTATGTCGATTGAGAAAGACCAATAAACTCAAATATATGTTGGTTTACACAACAACTCGCCCTTCTCTTGTGTAGTTCAATGACAGTGGGTAAATATCGGCATAAGATCCAAAGTGATTTGAAAACTTCAAATTTACACTATAAAATAATATTGAATAAAACCATTCATCGCATACTTCATAGCCAAGAAAACACGGGATATGTCGGCTTTCCATATCCACGTCAGTTTTGGTGCTTTTCCTTTACCGTACTAAAAATCCTGTACCTCGCCAATACCTCGTCGGCAGTTATTTCCTACTCGGGCGCAGTGGAAAAATTCGCACCGGCGAGCACGAACGCAGTGAGCGAAAGCGCTTTACTCAGTGCTTGACGGAAGCTGACCTTTCTCAAGCGGCGTCTCTCCCGCAAGGTTGCCGCTTTCCTCCGATCGACAGTGACTGTTTTCTTCTTGCAGGCCTTGCAGGCCCACAGGAGACATCTGCGCGGACCGTGCGGCGAGCCGGCGTCTAAAACGTGAGGATGCGGCACGTGCTCGATCGACTCGCCCTCGTTCGTTTCGCCCGTCTCGTTGGTCTCGCTGGTCTCGTTGGTCTCGTTCGTTTCGTCGGCGTCTGCGGAACCGGACTCGAGGTCGGCCGAGGCGTCCGCCGATATCACCGACGAGGCGTCGTCCGAGTCGAGGGCGTATCGGGACTGCGACCTGTCAACGTCGCGAGTTGTCTCTTTTGCGCTCGTCAAGATTGTAGCGGAAGAAAATGTTAAGGCAAACCCATATCTCCGATCACTCCGCTTGAGACAATATTCTAACGCGACTGAACGCCGTGCGATAAGAGAACCCTATGGGAAGACTCATTCACGTGGGAGAAAAAGGGACGAGAGAGAGAGAGAGGGAAAAGTATAACCAGTCTGTCTTTCTCTCTTCGAGTTGGAGACATTGGCTGCGTATTCAGTATTACATCAGGCGTGAAGATGTGTGATATAGAAAACTCCACACTTGTAATAAAGTTTATTAGTGGTTAGTATAAATTTACTGAGGTTTGCGACGAGAATCGTGGGGAAAACCGTTGACCGGCAAAAATTCATTAAACGGAGAAAAATATGGTACATAAACTGCCCGTATATTTTCTATTCGATGCTCAATGAGTTTCCCGGAAATCTCTAAATTTCTTTTAGCGAAATCTCCCTCAAATTAAGTGAAAAGTGGGCATTGGAACTATTTTCACTCGAGGCGATGGTGAAAACATTGTCACGCGAAATCGCAAGAGTGAACTTCTCACTCAAGCTTCGAGTAATTTCTGATTCCATACACGGAATAAAAGATTTAGCTTCAGTTCAGGTAAAAAACTATCTGTGGATATAATAAGTGCAATTGAAATTTATTTAATTTAGCTAATTTTTTTGTTTCAACCAATTTTTTTGTTTCAACCACAGCTGAAAACTAGGTCTGATAATTAAACTTCAGTCGCATTATATAGTCGGCTAATTCCCTTTTTCCTTTTTCCCTTCTTCCTTTTTTGCACGAGCGAATATTTTAATCGGTCAGACGTGAATTTATTTCTACATTCACTCTACGATTTCGATGTGGATTTCAATTCACTCTATGCGAGTGAAGAGTCACGTCAAATCCGAGTGACTCGACTGTCTCTTTACATTTGAAGAGAGATTTCACTCCGAGAAATTTAAGGAGACAGTCTACAGTCTAGAGTTCACTGCACGCGACCTCAGCGAGGCCGAGGAGGGTCCGTGGCAGGCAGATTACTTCCGGCGGAATGAGCTCGCCGGATTCTTGCCTTAATCATTCCTTTAGTTATCGTTGCCGGACGGCAGTTAACGATGGAACGCGGTGGGCGCGGAGGTTTGTCAGGAGGCGGTTTCCGCGGTTGGACACGTTCCAGGTGGTCCCGCGAGCACGCGAGAGAGTATTTTCTCTTGGGCCGCCGAAGAGGCGGCCCCCTACGTTTCGGCGGGTGGAACGGGTAACGTGGGACGCGATGAACGAAGTGAAAATGGTTTAATGCGCGGTAAAGCCGTCGTCGGGTTTTCATTGGGGATAACGACTCTCGTGGCGCTGCTTCGATTCGGCCACCATAAACGCGTCGCGCGACACCGCGCGAGGGAAAAGCCGAAGAAAGAAAAGGCAGAGGTAAGAAGAGCACGGGAAAAAAAAAGTTTCGTTTCGAATCTCCACCTGACGATGGACAACCAAACGCGTTTTGGTTGAACCGAACAGAATTCCTAGTTTTCACGAAGCAAAATAGTTGGCTGCTCATTGTCAGACAGATTCAACCGAACTCTTGTTTTTCTATGATAGAAGAAAAAGCGGGATATTTCGGGGAGTCGACGGTCGAATAGCGGTAAAATGCAAGCTGTGATATTCATTTCTTGCGTAATCATGCGAGTGATTTTCCGCGGGTTTCTTGATATTCTCCTCGGCGATAATTTAATATCCGCACTGAGAGGAAAAAAAATTGATAGAATCGAGAAAATTTTGCTTAAACGAGTAAAATTCCTTCGAGCACAACCGCCTGTATAGAAATATCTCGTGATTTTCTCAGATGCGGCATAGATTTCGGTCAGAATATCCAAAGTTCTCTCAAAAGAGGTTATCCCACTATGATACATTTTTATGACTATTATACATTTTTTATTACTATGATACACAATTGGGAACCCCCATTTTCATCTCAAATATGGAATAGAGCCTCTTTTCCACGATATTGATTGGCTGTGCGCTGCTGCTTGTCGCGTGCGACTGTCATTGCCAGAGTCGAGTGTCAGTTTGACCGAGTATCAGATTAGGGGGTTAATTTAAAACAGGATTATATTTTTCATATTACTATGCTTAATAACGCGTGCATAGCGTATGTATGTACTTGTAAAGTATGTTCTATAATAAACGTAAGAATATACGTATCAGTAAACTAATCGACCAGTTGGATTTTCACGGTCCAAGAATAATCGACTATGATTGGTCCATTTGTTTACTGCTTACGTCTTACTACGTATTTTACGGCTATTGTAGACGGCCCTTTACGGTTATTGTAGAATGGACTTAAAGTATAAATATTTCAAGTATTTCACAATTTCTTCAATCTCACAGTGTAAAATGGAAACGAGAAAAATTTTTGGAGAAATGTTGAAGTGACTAAATAAGATCTGTTTATGTTTCCTACTTAGAATCGTATGTTTGAATCATTACACTTCTAACCAGAATCTACGTAGATTTCCAATTAGAATTCCTCTATACGGAAAGTTTGGTCCGCTAAACAAATTATACAGTTGCTGTTATACAAGTTACTAATTGATTCAACAATTGCGATTCGGTCAGCAACCATATTACTTCAACGTGTTCTTACGCTAATGCGTAATTTGTCTAGCGAATGTAATATTTTTTTAAATGAGGGTAATGACCGCTGATTTTGTCGACTGATTCTTTTCCTCAGTGCAAAGTACGAACGGAAAAGGGCGCTCAACTGTACAATTAGGGCGTGTAGAATAACATATCGCAGAATTTCCTAAGGCTTTATTATGATAATTCTCGGAAGGAATTAGAATAAACTTCACATTACGCGTCACATCGTCGCCACGTCTCTGCTCGACGAAGCGTCTCTTTGCAAGCTCGTGAACCACGATATACATAGCGGGGGAACGACAGATAGCAGATAGCAGGACAATAGTAGGCCGAGCTGGAACGGTGACACGAATCCAATTCGCGCGGATCCTCGTAACGCGTGTCACGAGGAAAAAGGCCGCGGGGTGAAAGAGACGAGGGAGAAAAAAAGAAAAGCTGGGGAATTTCGTGGAGATGATCAATCTTGTCGTGTTCTACGCGTGAGGAGCAATTAGTCATATTTCATGGAGTATCCATCGGTCGGTCGATCGGTTAGCTTTCAAGCATTAATTCATCAAGTGTCACACAACTCTCGCGAAAATTTCATATTCCGAGTGAGATAAATGTATTAAGCTCCTCCCCCCCCCCTCTCTCTCTCTCTCTCTATCTATCTATCTATCTATCTATCTATCTCTGTCCCTCTCCACTTTTTAGGTATATATACGCACAAGGTGGGCCAACAACCGAGCAGGAAATGATTCCTCTTGAAAAGATAAATCGAAAATGTAGAATAAAAATTTTTTATGTGAAACTTTGTCAATCGCTGCAGAAGAATTAAAAACAATTCTCGCACGATTATAATACATATATTAATATGAATGTATAAAGACAGTTGACTTTATTTGAAAAAGAAAAAAAGTTTTATGATTTGTTAACATTGCAGCCAGTAACGAGTACAGCACTAACGAATTTGTGATAAAACAGAACGACTCCGGAATTCCCTTAAGATGTCTCTTTGAACGAATCTCAACAAAGACCGTATCTCACTTGCGTATGTTTAAAGAAATGACATCAATGTCGTATAAAATATATATTAACTCCTCCCACTATACGCTCTCATTGCGAAAGCATATCCATTAATTCTTAATTAGTATATCTTGTCATTATGACAAATCGATAAAAACGGATAGTTGAAATCAAAACGGTAAGGTAATAAAGCAACCGATCATATTGTATCACGAATATCAAGTATATTGTATCCAAACAATCAAGATTCGTTTAACAACATTTTAGTTAAATGCACGCGTACTCGATTTTTAGCCTCTTTTAAAACTTCCTAAAGCCGATTCTTCATCAAAACAAAGTCTCATATGAGAAACTTTTATGCCACAATTTTCATTTATCTTTTCAAGAAAAATCACCGCCTCCCCGATTACTAAGCCACCCTATATATGCATAATTCGTTTCATTCTCTTTCCTTTTCTTTAATTAATTTATCATATCTTAATACTATAGTTGTAACATCCTTAGAAGAAATGTCCCGGGATGATAAGAAAAATATCTATTTAACCATCTATCTATACATCTGTCTGTCTTCCTCTTTCCCTCGGGACATGTCGAGCGCCGATCTTATTTCGGAAGCGCGATGTAACCGCGGCAGTTACATCCGCAGCTCACCTGATGCGATCGTTGCGATCGCGATAGTTCAACGGACTGGTGGCCGGCGCGGTCAAAGCGTTGCCGGTGATCCTCGCGCGGTCGTCCGTGTCCCTCCGGGAGATGTACCCCTGCAGGTACTCGGGCTCCGTCGGCGTGTAGACGCGCCGGTACCGATGGTGATGATGGTGGTGCAGATGATGATGGTGGCGGTAAGCGTCGTAGGGCGGCCTAGTGACCGCCTCGTAGCCGTAAGGCACCGCGTCCGTCACGAGGGTCATCATTTCACGCGTCGGGGGAAGCGTGCGATCTCTCTCGCGCCGGTCACTGCGCCGGCAGTTCACCTCGATCGCCGTGAGACGGTTCTCTTCGAAGCGCTCCGAACGTCAGCGCGCGTTCACCCTCGCGCGAGCTCATCACGAGCGAAGCTGTCGCCGGTCCTCCGGTGAGGATGAAATCTACTATTTCCCAGAAATTGCGCGAGATATCCGGTATCCTCAGGGCGACATCACCCGCGTGTGCCGGTCGTCCGACTCCTCGTCAACGCTCGGACGATACACGATTTCTTCGCCTTCTCTTTACCTGAGCGTCGAGCGAAGAGTGTGTGTAATCCGGAAGATATAATCTTTCTCCCTTTCTCTCTCTCTCTCTCTCTCGGAGATTGTTAGAACGTTTATGATCGTAAAGGAAAAGCTAGCTCGGAGCTGAAATCAACCGATGATGAAGATGACCCGCCGTCCGTCGAAGACGCGACGGTGTGTTTGCTCTGCACTCCACTCGCCGCAATAACGGACTTACTTTTCCCTCTCTTCGCCCCCTCTCTCACTCTTTCTCTCCTCGGTGGAATAATGAATCACCGGTGTCACCGAAGACGCGGACGCGTCGTTCGATAGTGTTCGTCGTTAACTTCAAGCCGAGTCCGTGTCGGCCGATTCCAAGACGCTGCGGAATCTTCCGCTCTGATTCGCTAAAACCGCTAGAAACCCACCCTCGACTCGCTCTCGCTTACTTGTACCTTGCTCTCTTCTCGTTTCTCCCTTTTCTTTCCACCGTACGGTGATCTCTCTCTCTCTCTCTCTCTCTGCGTATCCGCGGAACGGCAGGGAAGTTCGAGAATCAAGATGAGCGAGAGGAATCGATCCCACGCGGGGGTAACTAGCAAAGTTTGGCGAACACAGCGCGGGGGAAGGCCCGCGGCCGCTGATCGACGTCGATCAGCGCACACCCGAGCGACGTACGTCACGTAGGTACGAACTCTCGCGCGGGAGAGCGAGATCTACGGAGACTGGGCGCCGAATGAAGCGGAAAACGATAAGCCGCACTCTCCTCCGGCCCGCGGCCGTGAGGGTACTCGAGGGATTGCACTTGGCGCGATATCGCGGGAACTCGCGCGCGCGAGAGTTTCTCGAGACGGTTTTCACCGGTTTTCAATTTCTCCTCCCGCCGACGCGCGCTACGACTATCCGTCCCGGCGGCGGCCGTCGGAGACCGTGGACGGGCGCGCGACAGATCCGGAAACCTTGAAGCCGCAGATCAGAGTGAGGACTTAGGCATCCTCCCTCGGTGGTATCGGTCCCTCCGCCACATGGCAGCGTCTCGTGACGCGCGCGCGAGTGCGTTTCGGGATATATTTTACCCGTTGCGTGCATGTGTCGCGTCGCGCGGTCACACCCAGGCTGACTATTTTTAAGAACAGCCGGCCAATCGTGGCAGCCGAAAATTGCCTTCGGGCCCGCCGTCGCTCCGCCTCTCAGCTGTCATAGATGCATGAGTTTGGCAGGGGCTCATCACGGGGTGTGGTTTAATCATTAATAAGAGCTTAGATTCGTCAGAAGCTGGAACACTCACCGGCGAACACGGCGAGCGTCCGAGCGACGCGAGTGCTCGGGGGGGTTTAAGTTAACGGTGGTATTAGCTCGGCGATCCGGAAGCGTAACGACCTGAATGAGGTGCTAATCGACTGAGCGTTGTTGCCGTAAACATCAGCCGAGAGTAACTTGGGGATTAAGCGAGTCGCCGTCCCGAGTCGAAATTTCGAGTCGCTATTTGAACGCTCCTGAGGGTAGTTTGCTAGCCTACTTGGATGGCTTATCAAGTTCGTCATCGACTTTGATACGTCCTAAATGCTATCTAATCTTGAACAATCTATTTTGATGTTAAAACAGCGGGAAAGGAAATTCAAGACATCATCGGGGCTAAAGTAGGAGTAAATTAGAGGACAAGCACTAAACTGACATAGTTATGGTAAACTGACATACCTATATTTCTCGTTTGTAAAGCACAGAACTTTGTCAGACAGAACATAAATTTTGTTTACTGTGCACAGTAGTTGGAGCTGGAAAATGACAGTTTCAGTTTGCAAGCGGGTTCGGTTGTGTTATTAGCGACGTTTGATTTGTCGTTGGGCTAAAATTTTTGTCGAACTATCTTCTTATTAAAATTAAAGTAACAAATCAACTATAAGCAATTTGCTGGATACTGTTATTTTATAGTGTAAGTTAGGAACTTTTTTAATCACTTTGGATCTTGTGCCAATTTCTGTTCTCTGTCATTGAACCACGCAAGAGAAGTTAGGGTGGGTTGTTCTGTAAACCGATATATATTTGAATTTACTGTTTTCTTAATTAACATACCTGAATATTGCTGTGAAGTATCATCATAGAATACAGTTGAAGCTACCGGTGGCGGATTTTCCTCTGTTTTTCTTGTTTATTTGTTTGATAGTTTGAAAGAAAATTAGGTGCTCCCTTTCCACCTAATAACGGAGCAATATACATCGTAAAATTTAAAAATTTTTAGGAAATATGTGAAATTAAAGATAACATATAAGGATATATAATAAATCTACAAAATAATATAATTTCAGTGCTTTTATTTTAATTCTTTGATAATTCTCAAATATTATGGATTTGTCCGTTTTAAGGCCAAGTTTCTAAAAGCTTCAATCCTCAAACATCTTAAAAAGTAATTATTTGCAAGGAAACGTGTAATAATTTTCATAAGACTATCATATATGTTTGGTATAGAAGCGTTACTAATTTACATCCATATACATAATTTTATTTAATTTTACGCCTTCACAACAGGGCTTTTGAACGCAAAAACAAAATAGTACGTCGGTTTTGGTGCTTTTTCTCTATATTATTAGCATTGAAATCGAATGTATTTTGCTGCCTTAGTTTCTATTATGTTGTAGAATTAAAGGTAAACATAAAGCCGGAGTTTCAACTTGACATGACTTTCCGCTTCTTTTCATGCAGAAAAAGATGAATGAGAAAGAAAGAGACGATGAAGAAAAGCGTGAAGTCACCTATCGTATTAATGTTGACGGATGTTAGCGAAAAGTTTCCTGTGTCGCGCCCATATCGACTATGTTTTTGCGTGTAGTTGATTCGAACTGTTGCGAGTATCTTCGTCCTCAAATAGAGGATCGAACCGCAAATGGTGGAAACATGTCATGCCGGGAGCGACGGGTTTACGACTCTGAAAAAATTGGTCGTTGCTTCGTGTGCCAATAAAACTATCTCTTTTCAGTTCGCCATTTATACGCTCCCATACGCGTTTGATGGTCAGGGGATGAGACAGAAACAAGCGAGCAAATCGCAAGTTTTCCCGCACGGAGACCGGAAAGGAGATATATCAGAGGAAAGAAGGAGGAAGAGATCCATTTCGTAAAAATTCCGGCCTTATCGTACGATACTCCGCAAGTACCGCACGTTTTTCCACGTCTTTAACGCGTCTCGATTTCTCGATCGGAATGAAGCATTCCCCTACTAATTACCAATCGCGAGAGCTCGGCTTGATGAGCTCATTTGTTGAACTGGATCGGTTCCACGTGCGCGCTTCAACGGCAGCTTCCGCAAACGTCGCAGTTTCTTGGCTTATTTTTAAGTATTCCCGGCTTCTGAAACAAATCAGTTTACAAATCGGACGCTGGCAAAAAGAGATGTTCATTACCGTGGGTCGTGGTTTTTGACAGATATTCCAATACGCGCGTCCGATAGTCGATTCGATTTGCGGTCTGCCGGCCGAGCGGGATTACAGCCTGTGGGACTATATAGGACGCCTCTACATATATAGACAGCCACCGCTACTCCCGCCGCTGGTTACGCAGATACGTAAACTTTATGTAAATCTAGCGCCGTCTATCACATTTTATGCTCCGCTTTCACGGAATTAAAATAGACTATTGAGCGTCGAATAAAAGCTAAAATTACTGGCTGGCAGCAATCCAGACGAACGGAGATAGAAAACGGGGTAAAGTTTTAGCCTACCGACACATTTCGTCGAACCACCAATCGCCATGTAATAACCGCTCTCATGCGGGAACGGACGCGTGCAGCGGAAACGAAAACTGCCGAGCGGGACGATCGCTCTCGCCTCTACGAGGCAACGGTCGAAATGTCCCGGTGTGAACAACCGTGTCGAGAATCTCACGACGTGTTCATCGCGCGCCCATCGTCGGGAAACGGCAACTCCGAATAAACGGTATTCGGAAGGTCCAAACTTGCCAAGCTGTTCGAAATGAGAGAGAGAGAGAGAGAGAGAGAGAGAGAGAGAGAGAGAGAGAGAGAGAGAGCATACAATTAGAAAAAAATGTTTGGCATTTGTAACTGTGTAATTGCACACATGAAAGAATTATAGTTAAAAAAAGCATTTTCCCAGTAAACATTATTACAGTGGTAATAATGTCTTGCACGCACACACGGGAAAAGATAATTCGCCGGCGCGGAAAATGTTCGCAATGTCGCAGCAAAATCTGTCGGTTACTTACGTGGACGGGAAAGTAATTTGTTAATAGTATCGGTCGCTCTTCACACTGGATATATATATTTTGCTGAATCTACAAAAGTTATTCCGCCGTAAGAAGAAATCAGTAAATCTAGGAAGGCGCTGTTCTGTCCTAACAGCAAATGAACATGTCCCAAGGATAAATTTGCTCGTTAAAATTCTTCTATCCCGGCGACAAGCTTGTTTCCGCTCCAGTTACGAATAATTCGCTAATTTGGTTACGTCAAGTAAATTTTATCGCTGTCGCAACGGATATGCAGTGGCAGCGACGTGGTTTCGCTGCGATAGCGAGGTTATTTTTCTCCATGTACGGCTGCTGCTCTATTCTTTTAATTAAAATCAAAAGAAGATCTCATTGAAGATATAGTTGCAAATGATGACAATTTTACTGATATTTCTCTCAGGGTAGACAGTTAAACGGTAATAATGGTAACAGTTGAACGATACTGATCGCCGTCTCGCCCAGGTTCAATCCGTACGTTGCGATGAAAGTTACACGAGGCGACAGCGAAGTGCACTATCGTTCATCAAGAACGAGATCGTCTCGTGAAGCGAACCGATACCCGCCGATATCCGTCACGCCGGCCAGCACGGTCGGCGACACGGGCTTTCTGATTAAAATCCCATCCGCGTAATTCCACGCGTCTGTAGTCCCGGTACCTGTCGGAAGAGACAAAGCCAATTACCGCTAAAAGCGGTCATTATCGGACGTCGTTAGAAATCCCCAAGTTGAGTGCCGCTTCCCCAGCGGCGTGTGCCTACATCTCGAGAGTATAAAGACGCGCCCTTCGCGTCTCCCCCGAGCGAGCCAGAGTGAGAAGCGACGGCTCGGACTTCATTTTTCATTCGTTGTCGCAGTGCCCGCTGCTGTACATAGCCGAAGACCTACATGAGAGTTCGCGCATTCCCGCATGCTGCTGTACACGCAGACGCGCGCTCGCGAGCACGTACGTACGTGTGTGTGTGTGTGTGTATGTAATACCGACACGTGACGCGCGCACTCGCAGGCATGGGGTAGTCCTCCCTTTCGCACTCCGTCGTGGAAGCTCGGCACGGCTCGGATGCGCTCGTCTGCCAACCGGGGTCGAGCAGAGGAGAGAGGAGGAGGAGGACGAGGCGCAAAGAGTACAACCCTGAGGAGCGAGACGCAAAACAGGTCACTCTCGCCTCCTTTCAGGATTCGGCTGGCTGGGATACCTACATCTGCCAAAGTTCACGGGAGGGCAATGCCTCGCCCACTTTTACAGGAGCGCACCGCCAACGGGATACTGTGTCTTAACTCTTTGCACTCATGAGCGTCCCGCCGTTTTGCGACTCGCACCCTTGCCGACTTTTCGCCCCCGCCCGGCCGATCTTTCCCGGCGTCTTCGGGACTTCGCAGAGCGACGAGAGCCGGAGGGGGTGTAAATAAATTTTCCTCGGCGACTGAAGAGTCACCGGAGAGGGGGAGCGAATTGTCTGAAAAAAACGGGACGTGTCTGCACGCTGGAAAACAAAAAAAGCGCCACCGTTCAAGTAATATTTACTTGACCCGGGTAAAATGATCATTCCAGTATTCAGTGGAAATATAATTGACTATGATAATGACAGTGTGATATTTCTCTCGTGTGAGCAGACGTTTACTCGCATATGCTGAAACAATTGCGACAAGTGTTTCAATCAAATTCATTACATTGATTCGGAATTTACTTTTAGAAAATGTTCATATACTGGACAGAAAAATCTGAATTTAAAACCACTGGGTTCCTACAATGGAAAAGAAGTAATACATAATATATTCTAATAAATACTCTCTTAAATTTAAAACCGCTTTACACTTACAATTCAATAATTCATTTATAAATTAAGGTTTATCAGGGGGGAGGGGAGTGTTCAAGTATTTACTGCAAGCTATTAAAATATATTCAAATTCATAAAAAATATCGCTCGATTCAAGAGGAAAATAGGTGATCGCTTCACTTGATTCCAGCTCGTTTTGTTCTCCGTGCAGACGCGGGAAAGTATGTGCGCTTTTCCTGAGAACCCTCAGCTTCTCAGACTCGCGCTCGCGGTAAGCTCTTCATTCGACGACGGGAATTTTTATTTACCCTCCTCTTTGCGCGTCCTTCGACATTACTGTGTTAATATTAAAACAAGTTCTTCCGGGGGG